GATCAAAGTGAGTTGAACTTTTATTGCAGCCTCAGTTTGGATTAGTTATTTATCCACTTTGAGTGTTTTGGCAGCCATAAGCAATATCATAAATAATATTAAACTTTCCTTCAGTCACAGATGCTGAAACCTTTACCTTGATTAAGGTTCTTGAGATATTATGCAAAGCCATATAATCAGATTATAATCACCATAAAAAACATCACCCTGTCTTTCAGGTAAAAAGGGATCAGAGACATTTTGAGCCAGATGATGTTTTATTCAACATATTTCATTGGACAGGAAAGTGATGGTTTCACTTTTCTTACTCGTAGCCTGGTAGTCTATATTGCTTTTATTTCAATCCCAACCTTGTGGTAATTAGGATTATTTCACTGTTAAGAAGGCACAGGGGAAAGTTTTTTAGATGCGTTTTTTGTAGTCCATTTTCAGAACATTGTAGTTTCAACACGGCGGACCCACGTCATTAACCTCCGCCGGCCCGTCGCATTTAATGATGTCGCCTAGCAGCAAGATCGCCTTTCCCTAAGTCCTTCATGAATTCTCCTAACACCTTTCCTTAACCTCATGACGTTTTAAGGTAAAGTGGATATTGAAAGGAGACAGGAGGGACAAATCGAACGCACCCCTTGTGATTTGTTTCAATCAGGTGATTAGTTCACCTGGGGAAAGGGGGTAGATGCCTGTTGGCTGCAGACTGCATCCAATTGGCTCAGGTGATTTGATTGACAGATGTTGTTGTCCAATGGAAGGGGCTATTTCAGCAGTGTTACATTAATGCTTAAACCTTATCCAGAATACTAAAGGTAATGGACCAGCCTTTTGGTGTTTCAAATGTTCTGGTGTCTGTTTTAGTGACTGCTCTCTTCCACGCTGACCGTCAAAAAACAGAGGAATGCATTTATCAAAATAAAATCTCAGATTTCATGAGCTATTGTCTGATAACAATTTAGAGACCTGAGATTCTGAGATGCAGGACACAATTGAAGTCTGCAGGGTCTGAGACTGCAAGTCCAGAGGGACATAGCATCTGCCTGACAGACTGATGAGTTTCTAATTTAAGTTAAATGTCTTATGATGATTGATTAATGGATGTGTAATTTAGTTAAATACCCATGTATGGCTGATGACGCAGACATTTCCACTCTCTCTCTCTCTCTCTCTCTCTCTCTCTCTCTCTGCCGACAGCGCCTGCTTAAAGTAATAACCCTCCTGCGATCTCACGCCCATGCGTCTGCAGCGTGGCCTGTAAATCTCTGCGTGTTTTTGTTTTAATAACACTAATGTTAGCGTTAGCCAAATGGTAAAAACGTCACACATCAAAAGCTGGGAGACATGTGAGCTATATCGGGGCGCAGACAAAGAGCGAGGGCCCAGTCTGTGAAAACAGTGGGCCGTGCTGACTCAGCAGACGAGTCTTCATGTATGTGTGGTTTTTAATGTATTGGGAACATTTGAATGCATTGATCGTGTGAGTGTGTGGAGGCGTGCGAAACGCTAAGCAACCTTACTGCACATAACAAAGCCCTCCAGCTGCTCGCTAAATTTGACTTCTCAGAGCTCCATTTCCTCCAAACCACAAAGCCTCGTAAAGCCGAGCACCCATACTTGGCTAATGGCGTTCACTCCTATATTGATGCCTCTGGTGCTGGTTATTTGGGGGAAAAAACCCTGATATATTTTCCAACACATGACTTTGTTTTCCTGAATCATTAGCTCCACCCTCCTCGCCAAGCCGGAGCGAGAGGACTCTGAAATCATGTCTGAGACGCAGCGTCACAAAAACCAGAGAGGACAAATGTTCCACTGGAGCTCGTCTGCAGCACACCGTCATGGAAGAGCTGCAGACATACACCCCCTCGTCTCACAGCTGTTCTTTAAAAGTCTAATAATTACATCTGACATAAGTTAACCTTTGATCTTTAGTGTTTAAATTGTATTTGGAAGCCGTAAATCAAGTTGTTTGCATCCTTTCATTTCCTGAAAGGATGCAAACAAACGGCTTTAAGTCTGTTCAGATACACAGGTGCTGACAGGAAGTGACCAGAGGCAGAGCACAACATCGACGGCTGTTCTTGGATCAGACGCCTTTCAGTGAAGTGGGAGGGAGGAAGTGTGTAGGTGGGTGAGAGAGTTTAGCAGAGGTGGGGGACTCGAGTCACATATTTGAGGACCTGAGACTTATCACTGACAGTGATAAAAGACTTGACTTAGACTTGAGACAGATGACTTGAAATGACTTTAGTTTTAGGACTTTTATTTTGCATTTTTCGACGAGTACACTTGTACCTGCGTGACTAACTCCTATGTCTGGAGTTTAGGTAAGTTCAAATACACGATTAGGTTGAAAACTAGAGACTGACACTGCAAAAAAAGGAATTCCATCACACACAAATGTCACGTTACAAACCTCTGTGATAATCTCTTTGAGTAAAAGTCAGCGTCAGTTTTTAGGCATTATAGTGTTTAGAGTTGAAATCCATACCTTCTTTGGCATGGATTGGGGGTTGATTTTCATTGCCTTAGATCCTTTATGTTTATACTGTGAGTTATAAAACAAGGCGGTAGGTTCTACACTCGCAGAAAAAAAATATTTTATGAACCACTGAGTGCGGCAAGCAAATAAAATGTGTTTGGTCTGCGTGTGTGTTTATGTGTGTGTGTGTGTGTGTTCAGGGTTGGTGTCCGGTGGACGTCAAGCTCTCCATAATGTTTACTGACACAACACTTTTTAATGGTTTCTGTTCAGAGCCAAGAATTGAGAAATCAAGTCACTTCAAAAGGGTGCCACCGAGTGGACGTGCTCTGTTTACACTTCGGCCTTCAGCTATTTAAAAACACGAGCAGACTATAGTCCTCTGACCACCACAGGATGAAGTGTTGCAAAACTCCCTGAAAGTATAATTTAGTTATTTATGTAAAATACCTCGCCAAGAAGCAAAGAGTTCAGAGTATATTAAAGCACTTTTTTTTTTTAACACAGAAGTACGGAGGAGTGCTGGTGTCAGGTGTAAGAAACATCAAGGGTTATTACTGTTTTTCTGTTTGGGAATTTTTGGTGATAAAGGGTCGTTTGCTCCGTCTCACCAAGGTCTAAATCACAAAGCAAGTACCTCTGATGATGCAGGAGAAAGTCCGCCCAGTAAAGTAGCCCTGCTGCGTGCAGATTGCTCTTGTTTTGCATTTGAATGTGGACTCTCTCATTGCTGCTCGGAAACTCTGAGAAGAATTAGATTCCCGACTTTGACGTCAGAGTCGTCATCACATGGGGGGGCAAAATATTTGTTAACAGCTACATTTCTCTGATCTTCTTGGCTTCGTGGCATCAACGCTTTTTTGTGACCACCCGAGCAGCACATGAATGCAGCACAAGTTGTCAGATTCAGGGACGTGCCCCTTTGGACTGGGGCGCTGTCTTGTGCAGGGGTGGCCTGAAGTTTGTGTGCATACAGCTGAATGAAGAGCATTTATTTATGTCTGCACTGATCAGATCAACAACATAAGATAATGGTGACCTATTCATCTTCTAAGCTTCATTCTTCAAGGACTCAAAACAAATATGATCGTCCAACATTAAAATTTAAAGTATTTAAAAAATTCCAAACAAACATCGGCACACTAAAAACTATGAGCTGCCTGTTGCAACACAGCCTGAATAGTAGATTTCAACATAAGCCCCACCTCTTTCAAAGCCAAGTCAATCATAGTCAAGGATTTCGGGGAGCCTCTCTGTGGGAGTTTCTCCCTGTTCTCCCTGTGTGGGTTCTCTCCGGGTACTCTGGCTTCCTCTAACAGTCCAAAGACATGCTCGTTAGGTTAACTGCTGACGCTAAATTGTCTTTAGGTGTGAATGTGAGTGCGTCTGTCTCTATATGTCAGCCCTGTGATTGGCTGGTGACCAGTCCAGGTTGAACCCGCCTCTCGTCCAATGACAGCTGGGATCAGCTCCAGGCCCCCGTAACCCTGAACTGGAAAAGCTGTTCAGATAATGGTTGGATGGAGTACCTGTGTATGGACTCTGTTTGCTCTGCAGTGCAGGTAGGGGAGCATTTAACCCTTTGTGTGTGTTTTGTGAACTAGATTGTCATTGTGACTCGTTCGCACAGATTCTTGACATTTACACAACATGTAAACTTTACTCCAGACATTTGACCTTTAATGTCAACATGTAAACGATTAAAATCATCCTGGTTTTGTATGAACAATCAGCCTGGACCTTAAAGTACAACTCAAGCCCGTTTTCCCTCCTTACTTCATAACATTCAGACTTTATTCTCTTCTCTACTCTGAACATTTCACCTTCAGTGCCTGGTATGTTGCTCTTTCAGTGCTGTAAAGTACAATCAGGTCAAAACTTGAAACAGCTAATCAGCTCTGAATGCAGCACGGCCGAGTGTTCCCTCTTCAAACCTCAGATTCAGTTTGTTTCAAACTCTCCGTCACATTTTAACAATGAGCTTAAACCTGTGTGAGGTCCCGGCGAGCAGCACAGACGTGTGAGCCGCTCTCCGCTCGTATGTGGGTGAACGCCCAGCTCCAGACAATTGAGGAATTGTTTGGCTTTGTGTCCAACGTTAAAACTTTCTCGCACACGCCGTTGGGCTTCACTGGAGACCCGACAGCACACTGATCAAAAAGAGGACACACACACACACACACACACACACACACACAGACTCAGAAATGAAATCCTCGTCTTTATTCCCATCCCATGTCGTCTGTTTCTTGTTTATTCTGCAGGTCGCCGAGTGTTGCGGTCCACACGTCTGCAGCGGTGGGCGCCTTTTCTATACAACCTCTCTCTCTGACCGGGTTAACGGAACAGCGTGACTTCACTCTTTTGGCCATAGCGGTGTTGAATTTTCCAAAGATGGTGGAGATTATCAAATTGCACATCACAATAACAGTGGAGTCAGGGTGGCCTGGTTATCAGGATACAGTAGAAGGTGGCTGAGATTGAATCCTGCGGGTCGGGTAATGTCAACACACCATACACACTCTTACAAAAGTACTTTTTTTTATTAAAACATACAGACGCATAAATAAAAAGAACACTGAATGGAAAAAAAAGGTCTATCAGATGAATATCTTACAGGTATGCTACAATCTTATAGAAGGAACAATATATCCATATTGCTTTTGGCTAGGCGAGTGCACACAGAATTGTCAAAATGGAGATACATAAATATGGAATTGAAAATGAAGCCCCTGTGTTTGAATAACAAAAAGCGTGTCTACTATTTCCTCTAAGTGCTGCGTAATGAATGTCATACAGACACAAAATATAAATGATTTCCACAGCCAAAAGGTCACTCCAACGATGACCTCACTCCGTACTTCTTCGGCTAATAAATAAATATTTTAGTGCATATTCCCCTTTGCCTCGGTGACGAGCCAAATGAAAACAAAAGAATTTAAGTTAAAGATGAACCAAACTCAATTTGGCTCCTCTGGTTAAAGACGACAAAGAGTCTCTTCGTGTCGTTTGTGGTCAGACAGTCCAGCTATCTGCGTCGCCTGTTGATTGTCATAAAAATAACAAACACATGTCGTGCACTCGTAAATGATACCGTCGAGTAAATCGCCTTCAGTGAAGCACGCCGCTCGTGAGCTTTCATTAAAGACAGGGTTGGTAATTTTCTCCAGATCCACTTTTTCAGATTTTGGATGAAATTGTCTTTAGGTCCTGACAGACATTAATAACTCATGTTCTCTGAAAAAGGAACCAAGAAAATCTGTCATCTTTAGCAGTTGTAAGTCTGTAAAAACTTCAACAAATGTCTGCCACAAGGTACCAATCTGATGAACCAATCACACGCCTCCCTGGCTCGCTCTCTACCGAATGCATGAACCCACACTCAAAACATGAGCTGAGGTCCACTTCTGGAGCAACGGCGCTCGTGCATGTAAGTGAGGGGGCGTGGCTTTAGAGGGAGCACAGAGGGGAGGGGATGAGTGCAGACGGAGCACTGAGGGAATGCTGCTTTCAAAATCATGTTAGTTTTTGTAAATTACCAACCCTGCCTTTAAGGCAGGAAATAGAACATTTTGGACCCCTAAAGGTTTTCTCAAAGTGGTTTCATTGCCTAACAAAGATGAAGATGGCCGTCTTAAGTTTTCAAATGACGCCTCAGAGATGTTGTGGGTGCTATAAATCCTAATCTTGCTGCCTATCTCCAATCATACTGTTGAGTTACTTATCGTGAGGACGCCTCATTGCACGCCTTTTTCACACTTGCAAAACCTTTCAGGAAAACATTCGCTGTCAGACCCGGGAGTTTGGTTGTTTTTATTCCCCGCTGATAATCTGCTAAGTACAAGCAGATGCTGCGTCCGCAACAGTGTTCTTTTACGACTTCTTCCCCCCAACGTTGATAAATCCTTCCTCACTGCCTCTTTCTGCCAGCTGACTTACTTCCTCGGCTTCTCCCTTTATGGTTTGTTTAAGAAGTGCACAAACACATGTCTACGCTTTAAAGTGTCACTGTTGAACTGTATTGACGAGCGCCAAAACAAACAGCAAACAGTATTAAAAAATAAAAGTCTGTTACAAAGATAGAAGAAGTCTAAAAATAGTCCAGTGCTATTAATTTGAGAGCGGTGAGTCTCATATTTGGGGTTTAAGTGCCTGAAGAGTTTGTGAAAGGCGATTTCCTGTTTCCATGCGTCTCATAAAAAAAGACTCCAAGGCTGTTTGGTGAAGAACAAAATAAAAACACATTTACAATAAAACACTTATTTTGACAAATTAGAAATCAGTGGTTCTTTGGCATATTAAATGTTCAGTAGCATGTCCGCTCCCCAGTTGTTTTACTTTCAGTTGCCCAACTTTATGGCCCCAAAATACGTCCCGTCTCCCGCCGGGTCCAACATCCAGGCGTTGGACACGTTGACGTACAGGGCGTCGCCCTCCTCCAGCCGCACGCCCCGGCCCTGCTGGGCGCAGTACATGTTATAGCTCATGTTGTTCCAGCGCATGGTGCTGCCCGCCTTCATCAGCAGCACGGCCTTGCTGTTCTGTTTGATGCTCTCGTGGAAAACGTACTGGATGAGCTGGGTGTTGCTGACGTCCACCGGCGGGGTGCCCGCCTGGCCGCTGCTGTCGTCCAGTGTTAACGTGTAGTAACGGAAGCAGGTTTTGGCGTAGACGTAGTAGAAACCAGACTCCATCACCAAAAGCTTCCCCTTCTGGTAGCCCATTTTGTGGCGGTATGCGTGCACTTCTTCCCAGTCGATGGTGATGGCCTTCTTCTCACCCTCTTCTTGGAAAAAAGAGAAGCAGAAAACAGACCGAATTTTGGTTATTTAATTCTTCTAAAAGTCTTTCATTAAAGGTCACATATTCTGTAAAATACACTTTACCATGCTAACGCTAATCTGTGTCTCGAGTCTGTCTACAAACCCCCCAATGATGAGAAAAGTCCATCCTCTGCTTCTTCTGCCTGCTCCACTTTTCAGAAAATGTGTGCTCAAACAGGGCGTTTGGAGATTTTCCCTTCATGACATCACAAAGGGCAGTAACCCTCCCAGGTGGGTGACACTCCCACAGCTAGGTGTTTGTTCTGCCCTCTGAGTCTGCCTTCTCTACCAGAGCAGTCATTTAAACTTTTGCACAATTCTATTTTATCACCACGATGGTTATTTGACTTTAACAAGCTGGCACAGAAACGTGTTTGCTTGAGATGCATTTCTTATTTCATTTCAACGTAAGTACTCGTAACTTATTTTAATCATAACATTTTTTTTTTTTTTTTTTTTTTGTATAGCCCCTCCCTCACTTTATGAAATAACAATCCTGCATTTGGTGGAAACATTTTCTGTATATCAGAAAAATGAACTTTTGCTTTTGAAGATACATTCCTCATGTGTTCTGTTTTAGGGAAATGGTGCTCGAAGTTTTGACCCCACACATGTCTCCAGAGAGCCACCCAAGCGCTTCCAGAGAGGGGGCGTGGTCAGACACAGCTCATTTACATTTAAAGGTACAGACACAGAAACAGCCTGTTCTGAGCAGGGCTGAAATAGAGGGGTTTATAGACATGATCAAATACAGGATCAGAGTGGATTTAGAACAGGAAACTTCACACATGTTTTAAAAAAACAACAAAAAGCACTAGCCTTCAGATTTATCAGCAGAGGAAACTCCACCTCTCTCTTTCTTCACTTTGTGTTTTTAAAAACTGATTTCTTTTCACAAATGAGGCTGAAAATCATGTTAATTTCTTCTTCTTTTTATTTCTACTATCTTTCTTCTTATGTTTAGTTACTGTAAATATGTTTGTCGTTTACATTTGAAAGCTTTTCCTGATTACCTTTGATCTCTATTTTTGAGCAGTTGTAATCAAATTTCCCCACAATGGAGGATCAATAAAGTTTATCTTATCTGTATCTAATGTGGCGGCTCTATTCTTACTTTAGTTAATGTATATTGATTGCAATAAAAGGTTTTGAGAAGAAAACAACATGCTGTGTCAGGTCAGTGAAGACAAGAGCAACTGTAGAACAATGCTAATTGTTTGTAATGGAGTTTGCATCGACCATTTCTTCTGAACTTCAGACTGCAACGCCTCTTTCATTACTATGTTGCGTCCTGAGCTTCGTTGCATGGACACTTCATTCCACTGCTTTGTGCAAAAAAAGTGTTTTTGGTGGATCATTGCTTTTTAACAGTTTTAGTTTGCTTTTTTTAAGGGTGATTTGTTGCTTTTCATGCCTTTATTGTAGAGATAGGACAGAGGATAGAGTCAGAAAGAAGAGAGAGAGAGAGGACATGCAGGAAAGGAGCCTCAGGCCGGATTTGAACCCGGGCCACCCGATGGGGAGGACTGTAGCCAGCGTCTGTTGGGGCCCTAGGCAAAGGTTCATTGGGGGCCCCATCCAAAGAATATCCACTTTCTTTGTCCACCCCCAGATGGATAACTCCTCTTCATTCAAATTTGGGTTTTCACAGGAATAGTGCTGTGACTCTTAGCAGGGCATTGAGAGTGAGTGCTGTTAGAAGGGGCCGCTTTAGGCAGATATCGTACTGTCGTTGCTAAATTTGAACTATTTGACGCAATGCTGTGGTTTCAAAGTTTGTCAGCCGTTGTGGGCCCCCTACTGGCCTGGGGCCCCAAGCAGTTGCCTGCCTTGCCTGTTGACAAGCAGCGCCTCTGACTGTAGCCTCCAAACACAGGCCGCACACATTAACCACTAGTCTACCAGGGCCCCAGAGTTTTAGGTTCTTAATACTTTCTTACAACTTTTGATGCACTGCAACCAAAATCTCCAATTTGTAAACAGGTTATGACAACGAGGTTAGCGTTTTTTCTTTTCCTTTTATGGATTTTTGTGCCGTAATTTGGGAGACAGGACACCAGACAGAGTCAGAAACTGGGGCGAGAAAGAGAGTGGGGAACGACATGCAGGAAAAGAACCCGCACCGCCTGCTCTTGAGGACTTAAGCCTCTGTACACACTAACCGTTCTGCCACCAGCACCCCAAACATTTACTTTAGGAACAGAAACCAATTTCTTCATCAATAACTAAAACCACATTTCAGCTGAATTGACAGATGCATTTTTCTAGTATTATATTCACATAATGTCAACGTCATCTAGACTCACTCTTTGAGTACTCCTGGTGCGTTTTGATTGGTAGATGAGCTGACGGCAGGCTCTCCTTGGACGGTTTGCACCGTCGGTTCTTCCTCGTGTCTCTCAGAGCGTTCAGCACCGGCTCCGTCTGCACTTCCTGCAGAAAACAGGGAAACCTATCAATCAAGCGGTAAATAATAAACGACAGGTCAAGTACAATCAGTCATATTGTTCTGGGGTCTGTGTGTGTGTGTGTGTGTGTGTGTGTGTGTGTGTGTGTGTGTGTGTGTGTGTGTGTGTGTGTGTGTGTGTGTGTGTGTGTGTGTGTGTGTGTGTGAGAGAGTTCTATTCCACTCTGAGGTTTGCTTAGTTTAAGAGATGTCAGCAATTAAACAATACAATCAAATGACTTTCTCTTTAACAAAGCTTGGCTCTGCTGTGTCTTTGAATAACCACCTGCTTGTGTTGAATCGTGTTTTTATTTCTTAAGACAACACACACACAAACTGCTAACATCTCGCCGTTCTGAGCTGGAGGCGGCGACGCTGAGGCCTCCCTGCCCTAGTGTACCCTTTCAGATAGATCGCTCTTCTCTCTCTCTCTCTCTCTCTCTCTATTCAAGGCGCCACTATCCACAGTCTGTCGTCCTCGGGCAAGACGGAGCGTATACACTGAGAGAAAACACAGTCTCCAAGCAAGTAAACAATTACTCGGTCGGAGCTGCCAGCTCTGTTACACATCTGGCATGAGATGAAAATATGAGGCGTGTTTTTGTTTCCTGACTCTACCTAAAATCTTAGACTCACACTGGAGGTCTCACGGATGATGGAAACCTTTTTTTTTTTTTGTGGATGCAACATTATTCTTAAACTATATAAGTTACATGGGCTCGTAGGGACTCAGAGCTGCAAATAAAGGTCCATAAATTGATTGTTAACGGACCGATTCATCAAATACTTTAATAATTTAAGTAAAGTATCAAACAGTTCAGTGTCCCTGGTGCTTAAATGCTTCTTATCATGGTCCTTTATGATGGTTACATAAAGACTGTTTGGGGTTTTGGACTGCTGGTTGGACAAATAAAGTTATTTCTAGAGGAGAATGAAGGCAGAGGGAAACTGTGATTAGCAAAAATGAAGAATGAAGAAATGAAGAAAATACTCCTCAGCAGCGAAGATGAAAGTGGGACACGACATGCGTCTACACTATGTGGTAAATTAAAATGTTCTAACACCTTTTGAATATAAGTTACAGTCAACTGATGAGTATATCTCATCCAGACGATGTTTGACATGTTTCATGCTTATGAAGTCACGTCCTCTGATCTCAGGTGTCCTGGAGATAAAATCATCTATCTTTGTGCCAGCGGGTAAAAGCAGGAAAAAAAGCGAAAACGGAAAGTGTTGGGAGAACCACACACAGCGTCTCTAAGCAAAAACACGGCTACACACTCTAAATAAACTCCAGAGCCTAACAACCCCATTAACCATGCACCTGCACTCTGCTAATATAGCTGTCAAGTATTTATTCACAAACCAAGTCCAGACACATCATCTGCACGCCTCTCAGACTAAGATTAGCTCCGTCTGTCCTCCAAAAACAATTTGCTGCACAAACATGTTTATAGCGCTGCGTCTTGGAATGAGACGGGGGTAAACATCGCGCTGCCAAGGCTGCAGAGGAATCGCGAACGCTCTCCCAGTCGGCGCTGCAATGTGGGATCTATCTATCTTGATTTGTGGCGAGACCGCGCCATTCCGCCTTAACCAGAGAGAGGAGATTATTTAGACAAAGTAGCAGCAGTTTGGAAGCTTCCTGATCCACAGTGTGATGTAGAATCTAAGTGCATCACTGAGAGCTGCTGCACGCAGGACAAGCGTGAAGCGTACAGCTGACTTGATTTCCCCGTTGCTCCGTCCTTGAATTCCCCAGGCTTCAACTCAACCCTATAACTACGCACCACATTCATCAGTCAACGTCTCCATTATGTTGATGAGTGGTTTCTAGGATGCTACACTGGAACAAAAGTCCTCTCACTCACGGCTCGGCCACCAAAGCAGTTTGTCTCTTTGTGTTCATCAATCAGATCTCATTTCTCACACAAATCTCCACGGTCTGTAAACATTCAGGTCATGAGCCCGGTCTGAATCACGGTCCTGTTCTCACCACTCCCGACATCGCGCTGACCACAGCCCCGGCCCGGAGGAGGCCCACGGCCTGCACATCCTGCCTCGCATCAAAGCCTGACAGCGGCCAACTGAGGCCTGCTCTCTAACAAATCCTCTGAACTGTCAGCGGCGGTCTGAGAGCTGACCCTAACACAACACAGTGTGGGCCAAGAGGACCTGTCACCCAGACACCTCATAAAGCTCCCAGCATGCCTCCCTGCGCTCCATGGGAAACAGCGACACAATGAGCTCTTCAGTCCAACATCAGGCTGGGTGGTTTGTGTAGAACCACACAAGGGATTCCCAGGACAAACGCAAACACATAATTTCAAAGGAAATGAAATGATAATGGGAAAGCAAACAGCAGTGAGGCAGAGCAGCGTTTTCATTCTGTGCTTTTTGATTTCCTCCGTGGACTTCGCCTCTGCTCGGGCGGAAACCGGTGCCAAAAACGGGGCGGCAACTTCCAAACGGGGATTAAGAGAAAAATATGACTTCAGCAATTAAGAATTCTTACTTTACAACTCCCTCATACTACCGCTGATTATCGGAGGAACTCTGCAACCACTGACGCCAGAGAGTGACTCACAGATGGAGGACGCAGCGGACTACTCTGTGCACCGTGTCGGTGAGAAACGAGGCAAACTCGTGGAAAATGCAGCATGATAACTCATTTTTGTGTATCAAAGAGCAGAGAGGTGTTTTCCCGCTGTGGTCTGACCTCTCATCAGCCCTTGTGACCACCTGGAGCTCAGTGTTTAGCTGAACAGAAGCTGTGGTATGTGCTGAAACACACCCGTGGGGAAATCATGACTAATGTCAGTGCAGAGACGCAGATTCAAAATCGTATTTATTTTGTCCCGCTTGAACTCTTCTCTTTTAAAAAACATCTCTGCAGCGTATTCCCATCTCTCAGTGACAGGAGGGAAACACCTGGTAGGCTTCAGAACGCTTTTAAGGTGTTTTATCCAAAGAGACGTACATCAGAGAGTGAGAACAACACAGGCGAGGATCTAGAGAGGAGGTGCAAAGGAACAGCTTTAAGCCGATCGGACACACAGGTGCTGACAGGAAGTGACCAGAGGTGCTGACAGGAAGTGACCAGAGGCAGAGCACAACAACGACAGCTTCTCTTGAGAGTTCTAATCAGCATCAAAACCATCCTAAAATATCTTCATCATCAAAATCGTCGTCATCATCCCTATCATGAAGGTCGTAGGTGTTCATAAAGAGCTGGGTCTTTAGCTTTTACTTAAAGGTGCAAAGGGACTCCAGATCAAATGGAGTTTGGTATTTCGTTCCTCCACCAGGGGGCGACAGAGGAGAAGAGTCTTAATTAGATTAATACCATAGATGTGTATATAAAGGCGGTGTATTGTAACAATCTGGCAATATGATTGGTGTCATGACACAAAGGTTACAATACCCTTTAGTACTGCATTGACATCATGTAGTGACACAGGTGAGGCCGTTTGTATTCAACTGCTCATCATTAAATGGTCACTGGATTTTACAGTTCTGGTTTGTTCTGGTTGACTCGGGACGTTACTGGACGGAGCTGGTGTGTTTCCTCCAGCCAATGACAGCGCAGCAGGTGAGTTTAGGAGTGGATACAATTCAGCGATTGGACGCCATTCAAATCGCTGAATATGACGGACGTGGACGTAGCAGCAAAGAAGAGAAAATATAATCGCAGTGAGGAGAAACACCAAGCGGATAAAGCTCGTTCTAAAACGAGGTTGAACCTTGTGTTGTCTTTTACCCGTGGACTTGGAGATGGTCTGCTTCCTGTTGGACAGGCAGGTGACAAACACCGGCGGTTAGCTTGTGCTAGCATGCGGTAGCTTGAAGTGTAGGCACAAGCAGTAAACGTCCTGCAGTGAGTGTGAGCTTCTGGGGACGATGAGCCCAGGAGGAGGGGCCCAGTTTGAATGTTGTTTGAAAGTTTACGGTAACAGAGAGTGAGACAGGAGAAGGAAGAAACTGCTCTTCTGTAAATGCAAAGAACTCAGGCCTATGCACAAGGACAGTAGGACTGGACACAATATCTCGCTACCCTGATATATTCTATATTTAAAGATCCTCGCTAATATATTATATATATATATATGGTATTTTAGGCATAATACATAGCATAGAGTTTTAGGATTACTCATATGCATCCAGGAAGAGAATGGTGAGAGTTTAGCTATTCATGCAAGCAGAAGAGTAAGATCTGATCTATACTTCTCACAGAACTCATAACATAAAACATCAGAGCTCTACAATCTGTGCAGACTGAGCAAAAACCCCGGACCTTCTTAAACATCAGTGAGAAAAGCAGCTGTAGCAGGAAGCAAGCTGCTGAAATGCTTTCTGTAAGTGGACTGTGCTCCTGTTACAGAGGGGGTGTTGTGCAGCTGAGGTTAACCCGGGGTCAAACCTATGGGTCAAACTCACCTCTATGGGTCGATGCGGCGCTGTGGACAGATCTACCTGCAGACACAAACACAGGGGCACAGGTCAGAGAGGTCAGAGTTATGAGCACCGTATGTTCCCTCCTCTGACAGGTGAGAGTGGGAGGAAAACGAACTCACAGGAAGACGAGCACAGATTCAGTTTGTGTGTTTGCGTGTGGGAGTGGGAGGTTGAGTTATTTTCCACATGTCAGTCTGCATTCCTCTGCAGCAGGCGAGATTCAAACGTGAGCTAGGGTCACAACATGTGTTCTCGTTTGCAGAGCTGCTATCTCTGAAAGCCTCTGCAAACATGGCTTCAAATAGTTCAAATGCGTGTGTGATGTGGGAATTTAGAGTCTCATCCAGCAGCGGGCCAAAATCTCTGCTAATAAACCTTCATAACCATCGGAAAACATACTAAACCGATTTGGCCGTCCATTTTCTAAATACTGTAGAGGTGTGGTTTTTCCTTTGAGAAGATTGTGGAATAATAAGGTTTAAAAAAAATCCCCGGCAAAGCCACGCCCAGTTCAAAGCAAGGGTCAGGTTAGTTTACAGAAACTTGAATGAAAATGTTCCAGATTTGGATTCCTTTCTCATACTTCTAGATGCAGATTTTCTTGAGAACACTTGAAAGGCTATTTTTGGATGTTTTTGTGCAAAGCTTTCATGTAGGAACACAGCTTGATGCACCAAGATACACAACATTACAAAAACATGCATTTCCTCCTCCTCCTCGTGTTTGAGTCAGAGCAGTTTTTTTTTTTTTTTTTAAATCGCTACCCGATCAGCACATTCCTCTGCAGCACGGCGCTGTGCAGATTCCAGCTCTCCGTCTCATCTCCAGGAAGTTCTTACAGGTGTTGAGGGCTTATGATGGTCTGCTGCCAAACTCTGATCCACTCTCAACTACTGACTGACTCACACTAAAAGCTTCTACCATACGCAGCTGTCAACTTTTTTAAAAAGGCTGTTTAAACTCTGCCTTAAGTCTGACAGACCGGAGAGCATCTCACGCTCCGATCATCCTGCATCCCTCTCATCACGCCATCAGACCCGTCCCAAGCTTTAAAGCACAACAAAAAGATTTCAGACATGAAACATTTTGTCCCTCTTTTTTCGTCCCTCTCTCCGGGGTTTTTCCTTCTTCTCCCACCTCCCTTTTTCCCCTCTGGCTCCGATCCAGTAACATAACAAGCTACTACCACACTGCAATGTGTTTATGCCAAAAACAAGCCAGAGAAATTTAACACACAAACACAGAGACAGAAAGACAGAGAGCGAGGGGGAGAGAGATGGATGCTCCCCAGGTGACCTCGGAGCATCCTGACAAAGCCGGGATGCGGTCTGCTCTCTTGGCTTGTTCAAACACGACAATTATTCAACTCCAGAACCACCATGGAGTAACAAAAACAGCTGTGGCAGAATGTAAATGTTATTCTACAAGATCCCAAAACACTCAGCGTTCAAGAGAGTAAACCTGACAAGAAAATAAATGGACCATGAAGAGACGTCTTGATTTGTATCTCTGACTTTGCAACATGTCAGAACATCCATGATCTGGAACCAGCTCTGGCTCTGCTCTAAAGTTTACAGCTCATGACACGTATAAATTAGAAATACAACCCTGGATAGCATGTAAACACGCACAAAGATAACTGCAGCCAGGAGCACTCAAGTGAAAACATCTGTATTTTGCAAACAGAACATTTTGCACGACTGACACAAGGAGGATTTGCAGAGGAGCCTTCGGAGATGTTATCTCTGCAAAACCAATGATTTGAATTAAAGGCTGCAGCTCCTGGAAAAAAAAAAAAAAAAAAAAAAAATCTCTGCCGAAATCAGTTCTCATTGGAAAACATCATAGGGGTTTAGTGAGATTGCTATCAGTAACTGTGTGCGTTTTTACAGCGACTTGAAGAGGTGTTTTAACTGCCTGCCGCCAAAGCGCAGCGCCTTCAAAGACGTGCCAAGAGAGCAGGAAATCTTGGCGCACAAATCTGCATAACTGGCTCGCTGCTCAGGCTTTGTCGCTTCTGAAGTAAGAATCCACCTCCTGTACTTCTAAGAGAGCCGCCAACTTTTATACAGAGCGGCGAAACTTGTCTGGCAGTTTATGGCATTATAAGATTGCGCAAACGTCGCTGCACTATCTCAACTCGCTTCGAGACCATTTGGCTGCACTTGGAGATACATATTTACGCACAGAAGAACCATGAGCTTGAGTAATCCCTCATATACACGCAGTCATGACTTTGCAAGAGTGTGTCAAATAAAGCACACTTGTGTCACTGAGCCTACCTCTTGTAGATAACCTGTCAGGTGTAATAAGATCGCCACGCTGGAAGCCACCTGAAGCAATCCCATAACAGCGAGGGTCCCGAACAGGAGGGGTCGGTACGTGGGCTCCGAGCTCTGCACCGGGTGGAAGCGGTGCTGCGCGGCCTCCATGTCGACGGTGTTCCGCAGGTAGCCTCTGTACTCGCTGTGAGTAGCTGCCATGATGCGCGCTCTGTTTTTGTGTGTGTGTGTGTGTGTTTGTGTGTATATGTGTGTGTGTGTGTGTATGTGTGTGTGTGTGCGTGTGCGTTCAGCCCCGGGGCCAGGTCCCAGACAGACTCAGTGCGAGGAAGGAAACCGACTGAAACTGTAAAGGTCCCGATTATGAGCGGTGGGTGGGCTGAAGGAGCGCGTTCTCCGCTGCAGCCAATCAGAAGGATCCTCCGGTTTTTGCGCCGACAGACGAGGAAGAAACGAAAGAAGAGGACGGGAAAGAAGACCTACTTGAACCGGATCGACCTGTGAGCGCACGACAGGTACAGCGAGCTCTTTATGGCTCCACGAGCTCTATAGCGAAACACACTGACACGTGATCCACCCCTTCTTCTCCGCGTCCACACCCCCTGTGACACACACAAACTCACTCTCTCTCTCTCTCTCTCTCTCTCTCTCACACACACACACACACACACACACACACACACACACACACACACACACACACACACACACACACACACACACACACACACACACTGCACAGAGGCTGCAGTCAGACAGGGATGCAGCTGAGAAAAGTATGAGAACTCTTAACTGATTCTAAACATATATTGTTGATGATTTAATAAACTTCAAAAGTCAACTTCCAAGAAAACTTACATAAAAGAAATCAGGGTCATTTTGGAGCAGAGTTCAAATTCATATGTGTAAAAACTTCAAAATGACTTTAATTCTCTTAAAAATAAGATTCATTTTACATTTGAATAAAGCTTTAAGTTCACCTTATAAAGTAACGATTAGTGCAGTATGTTACCTTAAACAATCACTCGATACACGTGGTGTCAACTTTTGGTCATTTCAAAGATTAAACCAGTGGTCACAAACTTTTTTCTGCTGCCAGGCACTCCTTGGCAGCTGAAAATATTGTCAAGCCCCTCCACGCTTGACCCTTCACCCTGCATACACATAGGCTATAAGATATCCTTTATTAATCCTTTAACACTCTGTTATTGAGACATGCTACACACACACACACACACGAGTTGAAACACACACACATGCACAAACAGGATCCTATGGACATGCACTGATGGAGAGATGTCAGAGTGAGGGAGCTGCACATGAAAGAGCGTGCGAGCAGTTGGGGGTTTCAGTGCCTTGCTCACAGCGACAGAGCCCAGGAAGTGAACTGGCACCTCTCCAGGTACCAGACCAATTTCCAGACTTCGTCCACATCTTAAATTGAACCTGTGGCCCCTCTTGTTCCGAACCCCAAGTCCCTACACACTTGAGCTGTTGCCGCCCCGATATGTCGACATACACTAGACACAATGTCAGTCACATGTTTGTGAACAAATTCTCATATTTTGTAGAATTTATCTCAAACAAAAAGTGCAGAATGGAAACTTCAGTGGGACAACAAACTGAAAAAGCTAACAAGCCCCCTTTTAAAGAGGAAGTGATATTACAACCAGAAAACTTTTCTGAGGTGATTCATTGTCAGCCTCACATCACTGGAAGTCTTCTCACAAAATATGCTACGCTAGCAGTAAAAAGTGATGTGCACTGCTTTTGTCAAGCCGTGCTTCTCATCAACAGGCAGCTCGGGGCCGGAGACCAGTTAGAGGGCGCCCGAGAGCTGACAACCTTCAAACCACAGCAGTAGCTCAAATTGTGCAAATTTTGCATTGACAGTAGGAAACCTCCCTAATGGCGCCCATCTGACAGTACTCACTCTCGTTGCCCTGCTAAGCATCTTATGTATTACTTCTGTGAAAACCAAAGTGCATCAATGAAAATCAATGAAGGAAAATGAAGAGGAATTTTCTGTCTGCGAGTGAAAAAAGAAAGAGGAAGAGCGTCGGGACACTGGCCCCAAATCATCTTTGCCTCGGACCCCAACAGACTCCTGAACCAACACCGCATCTAATATACCTCTTACATGTGTTTACTGCTAGTTTGTCCCATAATTGATCCTATTTGTCTTATTTTATAACAGTAAGCATCAATAACTCCTCTAACAACTTAATGTCTGTATCTCAGTTCAGTAGAGTTCAAGAGTCAGTGTTGCTTCATGTCCTGTCCTGCAGTCTTTACACATATCGGACAAAACACTTCATTCTAATGAATGACTGAATGTGGATCATGTTGGTGTGGTTTTGTGGTTTTGACCGCAGTCTCTCCCACGACCGGTATGACTTACATGCTCGATCGTTTCACTGGAATATATTTCCAAATATCAAGTGTAAAATACGCATTCATGCATTAATCACATTCTATCGTAATGTGTAAACTGGAATCAGAGCCAGGAAATAATGAGCCAAGTTCTTGCAAAAATCCTCACTTCTTATTATATGAAACACTTTATTGTGTCCTTGGGGGAAATTTGTCTTGGACTAAAGTGCTGCACACGTTCATCTGCCTCTACAGTTGAATCAATCAATGCAAATAAAACATAAAAATTCCTGTGTAAAGAGAAAAGAATATACCAGTGCAAACCAAAAAACACAACATGTATTGCACATCACTCATATTGAAAAATATCTGCATAAAATACTAAGGAAGAGAAAAGAAAAAAGAAAAAAAAGCCGAGGAAATATAAAATTACCATGACGCCTTTGCACAACCCATACAGCCTTAAGTGGGAACAAAAGAGTTTTTAAACGGTCCAGTTTACATTGGGGGACTCTTCTTGTGCTTCTAATGTACCTCTCTTTATAACATTATTCTGTGGCTTGTTGTTGTTGTGAGAAAAGTGAAATCATCTTTACATGTTGTGAACCACATAACATCTCAGCGAGCTGTATCTGCCCACATTAGTAAGGCCCCTGGAAACCCCATGACTGTACCAACATATGAGAGTCTGACAGAGAAGATCTCAGATACTCATTGCTGCAGCTGACTTGTAGGTTTAAAGGTACTTTAAACCCTGCGTGCAATATTTAAAGGTGACATATTCTCCTCATTTTCAACCAGTGTAAATAAGTCTCAGAGCTCCTCAAAACATGTGTGTGAAGTTTCTTGTTCTAAATCCACTCTGATCCTGTATTTGATCATGCCTATAAACCCCTCTAAAACATTAAGTTAGATTGCCGTCATAAATTCAGAACCAACTTGTTGATTTGTGGCAACAAGTTGGCAGTCCACCTGACGAGGACAGGAGCTGGACCAAAATGTTTACCGTGATGGATATACAAGCTAACAGCTAGCCACATTTAGCTTGACCACTGGGTTCCCACACCTTTTCTATCCTGTTACCTGCTTCCTTGGACCAATCAGGGTGGGGCTCTGTAATAATCAGCACCACCTCGACTCACCTGGAGTGAAACAACAAGACTGAATCAAGTGTTTAAGAAAAAAAAAAGAGTTTCCTCTAATTACTCATTTAAACAGAATAAATATATTATTAAAAAAAATTAAAAAATCATAAACATCGATTAGATGAAGGAGAAGAATGAGCCCCTTCCTCTCAGCCTGCGAACTTTAGTTTAAGGCTATTTTACATTTTTTATGCCTTTTTTTTTAGAGATAGAGTCAGAAATCAGAAAGGGAGAGAGAGAGTGGGGAATGACGTGCGCACCAACCACTACGATTCCGGTGCTCACAAGGTGATTTAGAATTTGACAAAAAAACAGATGAAAGGACACCAGGGTTTCCATTATTACAGAAAGTGAAGAAATGACAGCGTGCGTCACAGGGATGACGCTGTTCTTAAACCACAGTTTTATGAATGACATTAGTTGAACTGTCAGTCCTTTGTTTCAGGATGGCATGATTAATTACAGCGTCGAACAACTTGTAAAAAACTTTCCCTTTTCATTGTTGTAATGAGGAAGTTGACCTATGACTAACGTTAGTCTGGTGGCAAATTGAACACATGGGTTGTTGTTTTTCAGGTGTAAATTAAAAGTTGCAACAGCACATGAGTCCATACCTGTCTGTTCACAATGAAAAGTCTGTGGACTACTAATGAACCCGGATACACCTAAGACAGAGCCACCATGAAAGACACGACATGTTTCTCATTACCATGGAAACACCGGATGTTACTTCTGCTACATAAGGAAGCGTGAGCTGCTGCTGAAAGCTGCCGTTCTATTGTTGTATGTGCTGCTGTAAAAACATCATGTAAATTATACCCGGATACATTAGCTCATCTGTAAACATATTCTGTTCCTCAGGTCGGTTTCACCCGGTAGCCTTGACTACGCTCAACTCCTATGATTCCCCGCCGGCCTCAACGTCATCTTTTGTTTTTGTTTTGATTGAGAGCCCCCTGGTGGCGGAATCTACATCCTGTGCCTTAAACTTGCTGTAAACAAGAAAACATGTTGTACATTAACCCAAAAAAAAGTTTAACTTCAGGTTTTCTTTGATTTGTACAGTGTGTCCATAAAGGCATTCACTTTTATCACCAAATCGATGTTTGTACCAGGCTGTTAACATGTTAATTTCTGCTGTCAAAACAGACATTTTAATATGGGGTGTGTATGGGACTTTCGGATCTTTTGGAGCCAGCCTCAAGTGGACACTCAAGGAACTGCAGTTTTTTGCACTTCCGCATTGGCTTCATTTTTAACACCGGAGGTTGAAGCAAGTTTTAGCCTCTAAGTAAAGCATAAACAAGTTAAAGGAAGTGCCGTCCCACCATGTGAACACGGCCCTGAAAACAATAAACGCAGAGGGAGTTCACTTTCTTTACTCCACAATATATTTACACAGGGTGTAATCAATATCCAGAATGTTGCATATTCTGCCTTTAAGAAAATGTACAGATTAACAAAGTTTTAATTATATTCTTATCCAGTGAGAAATAATCCAATAGTGTTCTGTGTGCTTGTATGAGAAACCAGGTCACTTGACCTCAAACTCAGTGTCACATACCTAATAAAAGCAGAAGATGACAGATGGTACTATTAATTCCGAATAGTATCCTGTTTTAATCTGCTTACACATACATTCTATAAAAAAGCACAATAAGGTATTGTCACATGCAGACTGCTGGACCACCTCATTAAGGCTGAGTGTCCACAGACGCTCCCGCGGTCACGCATCGCGGCTCTTGCAGCATCTAAACATGGCAGTGGCTCCTGTCAGCCCAGAGTGTGACCTCCTTAACCTCCATGTTTTCCCCGGTGCCAGCAGAACAACAGTGTAGTATTTGAAAAGACAGCAGAAAACGAGCCTCCTTTAGGAACACAAGTTATTTTAGGCAGACGCAGTGACAATGGAGGAAAGGAGGGGTGGGTGTAGTAGGTCGGGTTGTGAGTTTGCGAAATACAAGCAAATTTTCTGGGTGCCAGCGGAGTTCATGGGAGAAAGCTGGCTTTTTATATGTGCCC